GAGATTTAAAGGATGTGGATAAGAAACTTCAAGTGCAGACCCAGCACCACACATTTCCGCCATGGGCAGCAACCTTTAAACCACTTTTAAAATTACTATACACAGAAGAAACACAGAAGTTAAACGAGTGAAGAGAAGCATAACCTTCTTTCAAAGACAAGGCAGAGCGAAAACAGGCAGTAAAGCGTTAGGCAGTGCAGGTCATGCTGTTGGTACAAAAACTCCCTCTTTTGACACATACATCAATTCCTGTAACATAGGAACAGTGTTAGGGAGTGTGTACCTAACATATATTTTACTCCATAAAAAATATATTAGAAAGTTTTTAAAAGGCAGAAACACAGACCTGTAGTTGTTTTAATGTGGTTAAGCTGTTTCAAAATAAAGGTCTTGCCAAAATTACATAGGATTTGACAGATAATGCCTATATATAATGCCTATTTTAAAAATTTAGGGTACACATTTGCAGCCAGGTGACTGGTGCAGAAAGTTCGCTTTTAAGATGGGATCTCCGTCACGTTTTTGAAATGCCGATTTTCTCGAGCTTGATGTTAGATTTGTGTAATGAGGGCGCCCTAATATTTACATTTCAAAGGACTGGCCTTCTTGCATTTGCTGTGACAATTTTGCTTAGCATAGCATTCCATTAAACGACGGTGCATATGAAAGCGGGAGTCTCTTCCAAAAGCCACAGGACAAGTTTGGAACATCCTGATATGCCTGCTTACAGATGGATCTGTTTTGGTATTCCATAGGGAATAAAAGGCTGAGGATGAATGAATTGAATATTCAACAAAGGATTCAAGCTCTGATCATTTAGTAAGATCATCAGGACTAGCTTGATTCCGCTTTCTTTCTTCTCTCCATCTAACAGATCCCGTTTCTAAGACTGAAAACCGCGCAGCAGCTTTTTAGGGGCAATGCTCCAGCTTGTCTCTCTCTCTCCTCTCTCTCCTCCATCTCCTCTCTCTCCCCCTCGCCTTCACTTCCTCTTTCTTTGGATCAACCTGCCGTCATAGGAAGAGAGAAAGAACAGAGAGAGAGAGAGAGAAGAGAGAGAGAGAGAGAGGAGAGAGCAAGCTAGAGCGATGTTAAGCTGGGCTGGGGTTCAGGTCTTGAAAACGGGGTGTTAGAGAAAGGGAATCAAAGCTGAGTCCTGATGATCTTACTAAATGATCAGAGCTTGGGATCCGTTTGAATAATTATCTTCAGCTTTAATTTCCCCTGAATACAACAGATGCCATCTGTGAGCATATCAGGGTTCGCCCTGTCGTTGTTTTTGGAAAGGAGCTCCGCTTTTTTTCATGCACCGTTTGATTTTTGCCGTCATAGCTGAACGAAATTTGTCATCAGGCAATGCACAGGAAGGCAGTGTCCTTGATGGTAAAATATAGTATACACATTGAACATCCAAGCTTCGAGATCGGTTCATACAACGTAGGAGATCCATCTTAAAGCGAACCTTTCTGCACCAGTCCCCTCCCCCACCTGGCTGCAAATGTGTAGCCCTAACATTTTTTTTAAATAGGGCAGTTATATATAGGCTATATTCTGTCAAATCCTATGTAGATTTGGCAGACTTTATTTTGAAGGCTACACATTAAACTTTACAGTGTTGTGGTTTTCTTTCTTTAAAACTTTCTGATATATCTTTATTGGAAGTATATATGTTTAGGTACAACTCCTACCTGTCTATGTACAAGGAATTGATGTATGTTGTCACGAGGAGTTTTTTATTATCCCAAACAGCATGACCTGCACTTGGTAGCTTTTACTTCCTTTTTCGCTCTGGCCTTGTCTGTGAGAAGGTATGCTTGCTCTTCACTCTGTTTACTTTCTGGTGTTTTCTTTCGTTGATGTTGATTTAAAGTTTGTGTTAAAGTTGCTGCATGAGGGAATGTGTGGGATGCTGGTACGCTTTGCAGTGAAGTTTTTTTACTCATTATCATTAATTCTGCTGTAAGAGGGAAAGTGTGAGGCATTGTGTTATGGAAGAGCAGCGGATTAGCTTGCAATGCAAGTGCAGTGTTGTTGGAACATGTTTTAGCCAGCGTGGAGCATTGAGTGATTCTTGGTCATTGGTGTTTTACTGTAACGGCGGGCCATGGGAGGCTTTTTTATTGGCAAGCGAGACCATGTGAACTTGTGAGGTG